TAACAAGCAACACACAATTCACAATTTACACTGCGCTGGATCGCAGTGTGAATTGGATGCAGTGAGGAGAAACCCATTAACACAATATCAAAGCAAAGCTTCTATCATATATAATTCTTAAATTAGTTTCATACAATATATCGCATATCGACCAAGCTGACACTAATCAAGAATGCAGTCCGTCTCATCTCTGCACAGATATATGACAAAATTTCTACATTACTTCGCATAAAATAAAGTATCCACTCTATGCCTTAACTTCTCTTTTAGCCCTCGCCCCATCCACTTAGACACGTCACTAAACCCCTTCCTCTCTTCTCTCTCCATCTCTCTCTCTCTCTCTCTCTCTCTCTCTCTCTCTCTCTCTCTCTCTCTCTCTCTCTCTCTCTCTCTCTCTCCCTCCCTCCCTCTAGAGGTTACTTGGCTCTCCATCCATGTGAACCACAGCAGCTTTACGTCCTCGTGGGAGCTGCCTTCATGGTGTAGCAACAAAGCTGTAGTTGACGTATTGTCCTGAATAATTACGTAACGAACAAAAATAACATTTCAATAGATTTTCATTCCAGGATACGTTTACCTGAACATGAGCACTACGATACGAAAATAACTTTAACTTCATGACTGACGAGTGTCCTCAAGCTGAACGGTTGTCCTAAATAAAATTATTTATTTTGTTATTCTCTGGAAAAATGAGCATCTTTCTTGATAGGTAAACCTGGTTAAACGTGTGAGTTGTTTGGTAAATAAAAGCATGCACACTTATCAAATTAAATCAACTTGAATTGTTCGAAAGAAGTGTTCACCGCCTTGCTAAGCACTGAAGGAATATCGTCCATCACTACACAGGGGTTTTAAAGGATCCTGTGTAAGCATGACCAGTAAGGTCGAATACGTAACAGTTTTAAACCAGATAAGTTATCACCAACCCTACATACCCGACTCTGTGCGTTAGACAATACCAACTTGCTGATTGTAGCAGTAATCAGGAAACATATGTGTGGATAAAAACCGTTCCCTGGTACGTGGCCTCCACGAGACTGAGAATCTAGTAAAAACCCAGAAAATCTCAAGAATTCTCCAAAAATAACAATATCATTTTTCATACTTTTTGTATGTGCGTATAATCTCCCAACAGAAACTCCAGCGACCACATAACTATGAAGCAATGTAACTGCATAAAACGTTGTGAAGTGTTGAATGATTATGATGTCTTTGGCACCGTAGTAGAGAAGGGTCATCGCAATTAGGGAATCCAATGATCGTAACAAACACAGTTTGAATCGTACATTTATAAGCTGTCCCGTTTAATTATGCTCCTTACCGAAGCTGTTTCATGGAGATATTTACAAAATGCAGAGATTTGTGGCTATGTTCTTATATATGTTTATATCGGAACCTAAGGATTATTTAATAATATTAATGAAAGGAAATGCATTTTTTTTATATATAGATTTTCCTTGACTTTTGGAAACATTGTGGCCGTCATTACTTGTTGAAATTCGAAGTTATAGCAATTACTGCTCAGGAACATCTTCTACTTCCACAAGGGTGGATTGCATGCCCTCGATACAGCAGACATTTACCATATGGATCACAACATTGAGACACTGTAACTAGAAACGGGCTGCTCTTGGATCTCTGCTTTGTCAAATAAGTTCCTCCCAAAATATCATTTTGGAACTTTAGCGCACATTTACCCCAGATGTCACGGATGCCTGGGCACACTGCCACAAATGGATACCAATTTCCCAGTCCCCTGTGCTTTCTGGTTTTCTAAGTTTCAATTAAGGTAGTGGCCCGCACAACATTCAGATAGACTTAGCTGAAGACAGGAATCAGAACATTAAAGGCACTTATATAGCTCAAGGCAAACTATTTATTCGACCTCAAAAGATTGCTGGCTTCTTCTCTCCCCCTCTATCCTCCCTAAATCTGTGCTGGACATTTTGCTGCAGCTTAACATCTCTTCATGATAGCAGTGACTCCCTTATGCCTAACGATCATTCTCTCTTTCTTCAGATATATTAGCCAATGAAAGCCAGTTCGTCAACCGATTTCAATAGAAACATCCCTGTTCAATGGAGACAGGGGCTGCAAAGGCGAACTGTAAGGCTAATAATAAGGAAGCGACGGCCGAAGCAGGTTCACATGGAAGAATTAAAGTCGACTAAATGAAAATCTCCAGCATGAGGGGCTTGCACAGCAAGAAGATGTGCATTATCTTTTCTGAAAACAGTTTCCAGCATTGTTAAGGCATTTTCCTCGACTATGGAGCTATCTCAGTGTATATGCAATGGTTTGCACGAATTGTTCTGAATGAAGAACTTGCAAGAATACATCACTAACTGACTCCTTCAATGAACTTGGCATTACTAATCCCAAAGGAATCTCTTAAATGCCACGAGGGACACTTAAACCCACTAGAAGTCGAAGATTTTGTTAGGATGCTTCTGACAATTGCCAAGGCAACGAGATAACAAAGTGTGTTACCCACAGAAATAACTTTGATTACACCATCCTTCTTTTTCATGGCACAAAGGAATGCACCCGAAAAAGGTTTAATTATGTTTGGAATTATTCCAACCAAGCAATTGTTGGCAAATTTCATTATCTGCAATTTCCATTTTCCTGAGCTGACAAGGTCTTACACCCATAAAGCCTCCTGCCGAAGCAAGCGGAATAACACGATTTCTTTGACGTCATTTTACTCTCAAATGGAAAGTGGTCTTATGATTGCGACGATTGTGCTTGGAGATAGAGGTTCCCCAGACTGCCACAGTGAATGGGTTACGGTAGCTTTTATAGTGGGATTCTGCCTACTCTAGCAATTATATTGGTCGTACCTTCTCTGTTGTCCTGTTAAACTGTGTTGATCACCTGGCTTATTATTTTAAAACTGTCATTGAAACTCTTATTAGCTCTGTGGTATGGGGATAAATTTGTCAGTTCTAGAAAACTATTTAAAAAATTGATAACCATAGAGGCTAGCTATTTATCTTCCCAAGCTGGAACGTTTAAGCAAACAAATATATATATATTATTAAATATGACCTCCATAAAACGGAGGAAAGGGTCCTGAAAGATATTGTTAGTAGAAACGTTATCCCTACAGACAAAAATCAGAAGATACAACTGACAATTTACTATAAACCCAAAAAATCGGCCAGCCTACTCATGAGAAACTCTCCAGACACAAAGCAGAACGCTTTAAAGGAGACCAACGTCGTCTATGCCCTCAAATGCCCACATGGGGACTATAAGCCTCAAAAAACTCAGTATATAGGTAAGACAACAACATCTCTTTCCAGGCGTTTAACGATGCATATGCAACAGGGCTCCATTAAGGATCATATAGTCTCTTCCCACAACCAAACCATCACCCGAGAAATCTTAGCAAACAACACAGAAATCATCGATAGATACAGCGATAGCAGGGGGCTTGACGTCTGCGAGGCACTACACATCAAGAAGTCAACACCAGCAATCAACAGCCAATTAATGCACAACTATATTCTACCCACTTCAAGACTCCGCTCCAATATAGAAGCATCAAGAAATATGGGCCAATAAAAATAGGCCTTCTGCAGTTACCTACTTTTAATACCCATTGTTCCGTGTTCTGTCTTGTGTTAAAAGTTTATTTTCACCTCATCCAAAACTATTGTAACATGTCACCTCACCCAAATGTAGGTATAAAAAACTCGAAGATGTTTAAGCTCTATTCAGTTAAAGTTGTGTGTGTGTGTGTAAACTAAAGTCTTTGAAAATGTAATAAGTTTAACGAAACGCGCTCAAGTGTCGCGTCAGACTAGAAATAAAAAGGAATTTTGGAGAATTGATTTTGAATTACCATCAACAGTGAAAAGAAACGTAAGAAAGATCGAGAAAATTCGTGTTAGAATTATTAATCTTACTTTTTCGGTCATATTTAATAATATATGTCTACAGGAAAGACTGCTACCAAAATATACTAATATATATATATATATATATATATATATATATATATATATATATATATATATATATATATATATATATATATATATATATATACCTAGAAGGGGTACCACCTCTGGTGCAAGTGTAGGGAACCATAGCGTCGGAGAAGAAAATAAAGAGCACTCAGAGAAGACCTTGTGGATCCTCACTGAACACTGATATTTTCTGCTCCTACCACCCCTATTCTTTTGGTATGTGTGTATATTTATCTACCTTTATTTGAAAATGTCATTACATAAAAAAAGTTACAATATTGATTACATGCAGGGTAGAAGGCTGCTTGTCACAATTTGAACAGCTCCTCCAGCTCCTCAGATGGCGGGCAGGAACCATGGATGCAGTGAGCATTTCCTCTCTGGATTGTCACACTAAGGCGCTGAAAAAGAAAACTGGCAGCTCTAGGGTTTCTAGTTGTTTCGATTACCTTAGACCCCAACTCCTTCAAAAAGCTAGCAGCACTTTTACCCGAGGCACCAAGTATCTCTGAGGCAATGGGGACAAAATTGTAGTGGTGCTCAAGGTCTCTGTATTTACGTGACTGACCGCTTCCCGGTGATTGGCAGCACCTCCTGCTTGTATAGCACTGACGTCAACATAGGTATATATATATATATATATATATATATATATATATATATATATATATATATATATATATATATATATATATATATATATATATATATATGCGAACAAGTCTAAATGGTCCCCAGGACAATATGCAACTGAAAACTCACATCCCAGAAGTGACTCGAACCGATATATATATATAAGGATATATATATATATATATATAATATATATATATATATATATATATATATATATATATTATTTGTAATGAACAAATAAAATCATGTTCATTTATGTTATGAGCCTCATTCATGATATATTATTCATAATATGTTTGAATGAGGTTCAAAAATATTTTGCAATATCGGTAATTGTTTGACGTTAATGTTTCTACTAATCATTTTTTCGGTGGAATGAACAATTCATAAAATTTTATATTTATTGACATGCAATTAATTTGAATGTTAATAGTACCACTGTTTACACTGCATTCTGTTTGACCCAGTCGACATGGTAAGACACCTCAGTGTAGACGCCGGGGTAGCCGGGACGAGCGCAGCCGTAGCCCCAAGAAACAATACCGGCCAGATAGGTAGACCCGGTATCGCTGGCTGCAAGAGGTCCACCAGAGTCACCCTGGCAGGAGTCCACCCCTCCCTCAGGAACACCGGCGCAGATCATGGAATCCAAAATCTCACTAGCACCATAATCATCTCGGCACTCTGCGTCAGTCACGATAGGGATTGTCACCTTCTGCAGCACATCAGGAGTGCTTCCTCCCTCGCTTGTGGTTCCCCAGCCTGTGATAATGGAGTCACCAGTGGCTGTATGTCCTTGTTCCGGAAGAGCAATGGGAGCCACGTTATTGTTGAAAGTCAGGGGTGAGGCCAGGTGAAGAATAGCGATGTCACTATCCAGAACGAAGTAGTCGAAGTTCTCGTGAAGGGTGATTTTTGACACGGCAATGGTCTGCTCCGATCCATCATCCGCGCTCAAGTTCAGTTCTCCAGCCACAATCTGTAGCAATAGAATCATAATTTTATTAACATTAATATACAATACCTTATTTCTTAGAGCAAAATAATATAGTATTGATCATTAAGATATAATATTTGGGAATGATTATATTTAATTGTTTAATTTTAAAGGAATATGTAATGAGCAACATGTTTCTGCACCTGTCATCTTCCAGCCCATCCTCCTGTTCTGGTAGCACTTATAGAAACAATGAGGATTATAGTATATATACCGTCGTACAATGAAATTAGAAAGTAGTAATCTGAACTATTGAGTTGGACAAACGGGAAATCTATTTATTACTTGTGTTGCTTAGACAAACTAAAATAACATAACCTAACCTCCCTAGGCCTATTACACGATATTTGAGGCTTAATATAGAACATATTTGTGGCCTCGGAATATTTAAGTGTTTTAGGTGTATTTATTTTAAAAGAATTCCTTACTAGTCAGTATACGACTATCTAAAAGCTAAGTACGTACTTAGCTTATAGTGCCTATCGTGATTAGCTTATCGTGACTACTGACGATCATCACAATAGGTACTATCTAAACACGAGGATGGGTTGCAACTTCACATTTTACTCACCCATGAGTCAAAGAGAAAAACACATTCCTAAAGGAAAGCAATAACTGACCTGGAGGTTTTTAGGGCTGTCATAATTTTCACCGTAGACACAGTGACCAGCAGTGATGGCATGGTTTTCATCATAGATGGAAGCTCCGCAGAAATGGAATGCAGGATTGTAAGAGTTATCCTGGAAGCTGAGTTGGTATGGGAACTCCCCGAGCGTGGCGTCTGTGCCACCAACGATCTTGTAATTGGTCCGAGGGAACCTCAGCCTCATGGAAGGGGCGGCTGAGGAAAAGTGGGAGGAAATTTATGTACAACTTATTAAAAGTAAAAATATATAGTGTCAATAATATGAGATTGTATTCTGTGACGTTCATGAGATCTTGTGTTTATATATATATATATATATATATATATATATATATATATATATATATATATATATATATATATATATATATATATATATATATATATATATATATATATATATATATATATATAAAAGGATGAGTGAGACGTGAACTTACCGAGAGCCCCGGCGAGGAGCAGACAGAACACGAGGAACTTCATGGCTGGTCACTGGTGGAGAACATCTCCCAACCACCGACGGTATATATACTGGCTACCCGGGATTACCATTCTCTTTATCGGCTCTTATCAGTGAAACCCGAACTTTCAACCCCCCAATGGGTCGATGATGAAATGGAATTATCCTGTGAATGTTTATATATATGTATTCGTACGGAGTCTTGAAGTGGGTAGAATATAGTTGTGAATTAATTGGCAGTACACATCAAAAAGTCAACACCAGCAATCAACAGCCAATTAATGCACAACTATATTCTACCCACTTCAAGACTCCGGACCAATATAGAAGCATCAAGAGGAAGTATGGGTCTATAGGCCCTTTGCAGTAACTTCCATTCTTCCCTCTCATATATCCAATTTATACTCATTGCACCGTGTTCTGTCTTGTGTTAGTCAAAAGTTTGTTCACCTCATCCAAAACTGTTGCAACATATCACCTCACCCAAGTGCGAGTATATAAGACAAGCTGTTCAATGTTAGCATTAAGTAAAACTCTGTTTAGTGTTTCAGGTTACAGTTGTGTGTGTGTGTGTGTGTAAACTAAAGTGTTTGAAAATGTAATAAGTTATTACGAAACGCGTTCAAGCGTCGCGTCAGACTAGAAATAAAAATGAATTTTGGAGAATTGATTTTTCAATTACCATTGACACTAAAAAGAAACATAAGAAAATTTGTGTTAGAGTTATTAATCTTGCTTTTTCGGTCATATTTAACAACATATATATATATATATATATATATATATATATATATATATATATATATATATATATATATATATATATATATATATATATATATATATGAGGCATCCAAAATCAGAGCAACAGTCAGCAAGAAAATAGAAGACGGCAACACAAATAAGGACGATCAGAGTCATCACCAGTGAAGACACAGTTGCCACCAGGGATGCCGATACAGCACAAGCCCTGAGGGAAAAACACCCACCCAGAGCTCCTCGTGACGACAGTGTTCCCCTAGTCGGTGTCACCAGAGCAGAACCCCTGTGTGTGCTCGAATCCATGGTGCATAAAGCAGCTTTATCCTTCCCACCAGGATCAGCAGGTGGGTTCACAGGACTAAGACCCAACCACATCAAACAAATGCTCAACCCTGCACTGGGAGACATTGCACAGGGCCTCCTGGTGGAACAATTAGATTCACCAACACATGTCTAGCTGGCAACATACCAGAGACCATATGGCCCCTCTTTTTTGGCGCTACCCCTCTGTGCCCTGAGGAAAAAAGATAGAGGAATCAGACCGATAGCTGTGGGCAATTCACTCCGGCGTCTCGTCGCTAAGGCTGCTGCTAGAGCAGTTAGTCAGGCAGCAGCCGACATGCTGAAGCCAAAACAGCTTGGGTTTGGCATTCCCCAAGGGTGTGAGTCAGCGGCTCATGCAGCTAAAGCCTACATTGCCAACATTACGGATGAAAAAGCCCTGATAAAGCTGGACTTCAAAAATGCTTTCAATCTGGTTTGATGGGATGCAGTACTCAATGCGGTTCATCGCCTTTTTCCTTCCCTCTACCCGTTTGTAAACTGTTCACTACAGCAAGAACCTAACTCTGCTTTTTGGGGAACATGAAATTGATTCACAAGAAGGTGTCCAACAGGGTGACCCCCTTGCTCCTTTTCTTTTCTGCCTAGTCATCAAGGAAGTCACCGATAACCTGTCCAGTGAGCTCAACATTTGGTTTTTGGACGATGGTACTTTAGCCGGCTCCCGAGCCTCACTCTTGGACGACATAAGAATAATTCAGGAGCAAGCCTAGGCCTCACCCTGAACGATTCCAAGTGCGAAATAACCTCCACCAACCAGCGCATAATAGAGCAAATAAAAGTTGTTTTGCCTGACATTCATACAACCAACCCTGAGGACAGCACACTCCTAGGTGCTCCTCTTGGAAGGAATGCCATCGACGGGGTCCTTGGTAAGAAGATCACTGACCTGAAGAGGATGAACGAGAGGATTGAAGACATCGATGCTCATGATGCACTTTACCTCATCACCAGATGCTTGTCCCTCCCCAGGCTGACCTACTTTCTAAGGTGTTCACCATCTTTCAACAATATTAAATTAGAGGCGTACGACAGCTTGCTGAAATCAACACTAGAAAAAGCCCTAAATCTTTCCCTCAGCGACTCACACTGGAAACAGGCCTCCCTTCCTGTCAGACTCGGGGGCCTTGGCGTGCGCACAGCAACACAAATTGCTGTACCAGCGTTCCTGTCCTCTTCAGTGGGGTCTGACAACTTGGTGAAGGAAATTCTACCTGAGCACCTAGTTCAACAGGCAGGGGTACATGATCCCAGCTTCACAGATTGCACAACCAAATGGGTCTCTCTCGCAGGACCAGCACCCCTACCACCGCCTTCTGAAGCCCATAAGCAATCCAGCTGGGATCACCCCATTGCCGACCAAGAAGCTGCGACTTTGCTAGAAGCCGCGACAACACCACATGACACTGCCCGACTTAGAGCTGTAGCAGCTCCCCATGCAGGTGATTTCCTATTAGCAACCCCAATGTCAGCAACCGGCACCCGTCTCACACCGCAGGCCCTCCGAATTGCCGTGGCTCTCCGCCTCGCTGCCCCAATCCACACCGAATACAGGTGTATATGCAGCGAGGCAGAGGCCGACAGATACGGACGGCATGGCCTTCTCTGCCAAAGGACAGGAGGATGGCATGCAAGACACGGCGAGGTCAATGACATTATTAAGAGAAGCCTTACCACAGCCGGTTGTCCAGCAGAGAGAGAGCCCCGTTACCTAATGTCCCGCAACTCTGATGAGCCTGTCGGTCGCCCAGACGGAATCACAGTGAACCCATGGAAGAATGGTAGACAGTTGGTGTGGGACTACACTTGCGTTTTAACTTTAGCCAATACCTATGTTGACTTCAGTGCAACACAAGCAGGAGGAGCTGCCAATCACCGGGAAGCAGCCAAGTCACGTAAATACAGAGACCTTGAGCACCACTACAATTTTGTCCCCATTGCCTCAGAGACACTTGGTGCCTGGGGTAAAAGTGCTGCTAGCTTTTTGAAGGAGTTGGGTTCCAAGCTAATCGAAACAACTAGAAACCCTAGAGCTGCCAGTTTTCTTTTTCAGCGCCTTAGTGTGGCATTCCAGAGAGGAAATGCTCACTGCATCCATGGTTCCTGCCCGCCATCTGAGGAGCTGGAAGAGCTGTTCAACTTGTGACAAGCAGCCTTCTACCCTGCATGTAATCAATATTGTAACTTTTTTATGTAATGGCATTTTCAAATAAAGTTAGATAAATATACACACCAAAAGAATAGGGGATGTAGGAGAAGAAAATTTCAAAGTGTTCAGTGAGGATCCACAAGGTCTTCTCTGAGTACTCTTTATTTTCTTCTCCGAGGCTATGGGTCCCTACACTTGCACCAGAGGTGGTACCCCTTCTAGGTATATAATACATATATATATATATATATATATATATATATATATATATATATATATATATATATATATATATATATATATATATATATTATTGTAATGAACAAATAAAATCATGTTCATTTATGTTATGAGCCTCATTTATGATATATTATTCATAATATGTTTTGAATGAGGTTCAAAAATATTTTGCAATATCGGTAATTGTTTGACGTTAATGCTTCTTCTAATCATTTTTTCGGTGGAATGAACAATTCATAAAATTTTATATTTATTGACATGCAATTAATTTGAATGTTAATAGTACCACTGTTTACACTGCATTCTGTTTGACCCAGTCGACATGGTAAGACACCTCAGTGTAGACGCCGGGGTAGCCGGGACGAGCGCAGCCGTAGCCCCAAGAAACAATACCGGCCAGATAGGTAGACCCGGTATCGCTGGCTGCAAGAGGTCCACCAGAGTCACCCTGGCAGGAGTCCACCCCTCCCTCAGGAACACCGGCGCAGATCATGGAATCCAAAATCTCACTAGCACCATAATCATCTCGGCATTCTGCGTCAGTCACGATAGGGATTGTCACCTTCTGCAGCACATCAGGAGTGCTTCCTCCCTCGCTTGTGGTTCCCCAGCCTGTGACAATGGAGTCACCAGTGGCTGTATGTCCTTGTTCCGGAAGAGCAATGGGAGCCACGTTATTGTTGAAAGTCAGAGGTGAGGCCAGGTGAAGAATAGCGATGTCACTATCCAGAACGAAGTAGTCGAAGTTCTCGTGAAGGGTAATTTTTGACACTGCAATGGTCTGCTCCGATCCATCATCCGAGCTCAAGTCCAGTTCTCCAGCCACAATCTGTAGCAATAGAATCATAATTTTATTAACATTAATATACAATACCTTATTTCTTAGAGCAAAATAATATAGTATTGATCATTAAGATATAATATTTGGGAATGATTATATTTAATTGTTTAATTTTAAAGGAATATGTAATCTGCAACATTTTTCTACACCTGACATCTTCCAGCCCATCCTCCTGTTCTGGTAGCACTTATAGAAACAATGAGGATTATAGTATATATACCGTCGTACAATGAAATTAGAAAGTAGTAATCTGAACTATTGAGTTGGACAAACGGGAAAACTATTTATTACTTGTGTTGCTTAGACAAACTAAAATAACATAACCTAACCTCCCTAGGCCTATTACACGATATTTGAGGCTTAATATAGAACATATTTGTGGCCTCAGAATATTTAAGTGTTTTAGGTGTATTTATTTTAAAAGAATTCCTTACTAGTCAGTATACGACTATCTAAAAGCTAAGTACGTACTTAGCTTATAGTGCCTATCGTGATTAGCTTATCGTGACTACTGACGATCATCACAATAGTTACTATCTAAACACGAGGATGGGTTGCAACTTCACATCTTACTCTCCCATGAGTCAAAGAGAAAAACACATTCCTAAAGGAAAGCAATAACTGACCTGGAGGTTTTTAGGGCTGTCATAATTTTCACCGTAGACACAGTGACCAGCAGTGATGGCATGGTTTTCATCATAGATGGAAGCTCCGCAGAAATGGAATGCAGGATTGTAAGAGTTATCCTGGAAGCTGAGTTGGTATGGGAACTCCCCGAGCGTGGCGTCTGTGCCACCAACGATCTTGTAATTGGTCCGAGGGAACCTCAGCCTCATGGAAGGGGCGGCTGAGGAAAAGTGGGAGGAAATTTATGTACAACTTATTAAAAGTAAAAATATATAGTGTCAATAATATGAGATTGTATTCTGTGACGTTCATGAGATCTTGTGTTTATATATATATATATATATATATATATATATATATATATATATATATATATATATATATATATATATATATATATAAATAAAAGGATGAGTGAGACGTGAACTTACCGAGAGCCCCGGCGAGGAGCAGACAGAACACGAGGAACTTCATGGCTGGTCACTGGTGGAGAACATCTCACAACCACCGACGGTATATATACTGGCTACCCGGGATTACCATTCTCTTTATCGGCTCTTATCAGTGAAACCCGAACTTTCAACCCCCCAATGGGTCGATGATGAAATGGAATTATCCTGTGAATGTTTATATATATGTATTCGTACGGAGTCTTGAAGTGGGTAGAATATAGTTGTGAATTAATTGGCAGTACACATCAAAAAGTCAACACCAGCAATCAACAGCCAATTAATGCACAACTATATTCTACCCACTTCAAGACTCCGGACCAATATAGAAGCATCAAGAGGAAGTATGGGTCTATAGGCCCTTTGCAGTAACTACCATTCTTCCCTCTCATATATCCAATTTATACTCATTGCACCGTGTTCTGTCTTGTGTTAGTCAAAAGTTTGTTCACCTCATCCAAAACTGTTGCAACATATTACCTCACCCAAGTGCGAGTATATAAGACAAGCTGTTCAATGTTAGCATTAAGTAAAACTCTGTTTAGTGTTTTCAGGTTACAGTTGTGTGTATGTAAACTAAAGTATTTGAACATGTAATAAGTTATTACGAAACGCGTTCTAGCGTCGCGTCAGACTAGAAATAAAAATGAATTTTGGAGAATTGATTTTTCAATTACCATCGACAGTAAAATGAAGCATTAGAAATATTGAGAAAATTCGTGTTAGAATTATTAATTTTACTTTTTCGGTCATATTTAACAACATATTAAATATATATATATATATATATATATATATATATATATATATATATATATATATATATATATATATATATATATATATATATATATACAAAAGCCAATACCAACAAGGTGGTAAACTTGGGCATAGTGTTGCAACACGCATTTGTGTTGCTCACGTGGCCCCACAAAGTGAGCTGATTCGATGAAATAACTATGCCCAAGCTTACCACCAAGTGCCGTTGTAACGTTGGGGATATAGCCTCGGCTACTGATGTCTTTTGTACGGTCACGGTTGGTCAAGTGGTTAAGGTTCCAGGTACGCCAGTTGCGTAGTGCTTCTGGCTGTCTGGATTCGAATCCTTCTGGGGTGTGGAGTTTTCAGTTGCATATTGGCTTGGGGACCATTAAAGCTTGTTTGCATATATATTTATATAAGCTTATTGAAATAACTAGAGACCCAAGAGCTGCCAGTTTTCTCTTTCAGCGCCTTTTCTCTTTCTCTTTAGGAGGCCTGGTCGACGACCGGGCCGCGGGGACACTAAGCCCCGGAAGCACCTCAAGGTAGGTAGGTAGCCTTAGTGTAGTGATCTAGAGAGGAAATGCTCACTGCATCCATGGATCCTGCCCGCCATCTGAGAAGCTCTACAACTTGTGACAAGTAGCCTTGTACCCTGCACGTTACCAATGTTGTAACCCTTTTTGTGCAATGACATTTTCAAATAAAGTTAGATATATATACGCACATACCAAAAGAATAGGGGTGGTAGGAGAAGAAAATATCAAAGAGTTCAGTGAGGATTCACAAGGTCTTCTCTGAGTACTCTTTATTTTCTTCTCCGAGGCTATGGGTCCCTACACTTGCACCAGAGGTGGTACCCTTTCTAGGTTAAAAAAATATATATATATATATATATATATATATATATATATATATATATATATATATATATATATATATAGATATATGGGAAGATGACTCATCATCAGTCAAGCACCATATGCAAAGATAAGTAACTTTCTCAACCCAGCGGCCTTAAGATGACGGGAAACCCTTGGAATGAAAAACAGTGGAAGCCTCTCCTTTTACACTGTTACTTCCCAGTGTATTGTACTACCCCCAATACAGTATACTACCCAGTGTACTACCCCAGTGTTACTACCCATAAATAAGTGATTACGGTGTTGAATAACTAGACGTTTTTCTTGTATCTACTTGAGTTTGTTTAAATATTTTTTATTATTTTAAATTACTTAATTTGTCTGTAGATATTCCCTCATAACTCATTTGTATGCGTGCTAGTGGCGTTACAAGCATCTAAAAACTCCTAAATATATAAATAAAAAAATAATTAAATATGTCTATTCTTGTATATAGTAATATAATTACAAAGTGGCTTTCCTTCTTCCTTCGATTATCTGATTTGTGGGTATCTCTCATCGTATTTTCAATGATCTAATTACTGCATTTCAATTCTCGTTCTTACAATGTTTTGATTATAGGATGTCTCTCCTTGTTCTTACAGTGATTAGAACGTTGTGTGAGTCTTTCAACGTTCATATATTTGTCTGATTCATTGCACGATGATTATACATATCTGAAGAATAATAATTCAAACAAGTTTTAACTCTGCTGTTCTGGTAGAATCATTTTTTATTTCATTAATATTTTTCTTTCACTCATTAATTAATTATTAACATTAATAAAGACTGATAGTGATGTAGAAACATTATTTTACAAATATGATAAGAAATATAGGAGAGGGAAGTAGGAGGACCAAATATCAATAAGATAACAGAACGTGATTTCTTGAATATTTTTCACACAAATATGAGATAAGTTTGTTAAAGGACTATTCAGGAAGTATTTGCATCGAGAGGTGTACCAATTTATCTTTAAATACACATTGAGCGTTCACTTTGCTATTTGACTATATTCAAGGGTAAAATATTTCTGCTGGTTGATGAATCTTAACAACTCTCTTATACTGGCCTTAACAACTCTCCCACTGCCAACGGGCGTTAAGCCAAACACCAAACATATCAAGCATCTATTACAACAGGATAATTTCATTCCATCAACGGCCAATTGGGGGGTTGAAAGTTCGGGTTTCACAGATAAGAGACGATAAGGAGAATGGTAATCCCGGGTAGTCAGTATATAAACCGACGGTGGTTGGATGTTCTTCACCAGTGACCAGCCATGAAGTTCCTCGTGTTCTGTCTGCTCCTCGCCGGGGCTCTCGGTAAGTTCACGTCTCACTCATCCTTTTATATATATATATATATATATATATATATATATATATATATATATATATATATATATATATATATATATATATATATATAGTATTATAGACAATATATATTTTTTCTTTCAATAAATTATTTATAAACTTCCTCCCACTTTTCCTCAGCCGCCCCTTCCATCAGGCTGAGGTTCCCTCGCACCAATTACAAGATCGTTGGTGGCACAGACGCCACGCTCGGGGAGTTCCCATACCAACTCAGCTTCCAGGATAACTCTTACAATCCTGCATTCCATTTCTGCGGAGCTTCCATCTATGATGAAAACCATGCCATCACTGCTGGTCACTGTGTCTACGGTGAAAATTATGACAGCCCTAAAAACCTCCAGGTTAGTTATTGCTTTCCTTTAGGAATGTATATTTCTCTTTGACTCATGGGAGAGTAAGATGTGAAGTTGCAACCCATCCTCGTGTTTAGATAGTAACTATTGTCATGATCGTCAGTAGTCACGATAAGCTAATCACGATAGGCACTATAAGCTAAGTACGTACTTAGCTTTTAGATAGTAGTATACTGACTAGTAAGGAATTCTTTTAAAATAAATGAACCTAAAACACTTAAATATTCTTAAACAACTAGGGAGGTTAGGTTACGTTATTTAATTTGTCAAGCAACACAAGTAAAAAATAGCTTTCCCGTTTGTCCAACTCAATAGTTCAGATTACTACTTTCTAATTTCATTGTACGACGGTATATATACTATAATCCTCATTGTTTCTATAAGTGCTACCAGAACAGGAGGATGGGCTGGAAGATGTCAGGTGCAGAAACACATTGCTCATTACATATTCATTAAGCAATTAAATATGATCATACCCAAATATTATATCTTAATTATCAATACTATATTATTTTGCTCTAAGAAATAAGGTATTGTATATTAATGTTAATAAAATTATTATTCTATTACTACAGATTGTGGCAGGAGAACTGAACTTGAGCGCGGATGATGGATCGGAGCAGACCATTGCAGTGTCAAAAATCACCCTTCACGAGAACTTCGACTACTTCGTTCTGGATAGTGACATCGCTATTCTTCACCTGGCCTCACCTCTGACTTTCAACAATAACGTGGCTCCCATTGCTCTTCCGGAACAAGGACATACAGCCACTGGTGACTCCATTGTCACAGGCTGGGGAACCACAAGCGAGGGAGGAAGCACTCCTGATGTGCTGCAGAAGGTGACAATCCCTATCGTGACTGACGCAGAGTGCCGAGATGATTATGGTGCTAGTGAGATTTTGGATTCCATGATCTGCGCCGGTGTTCCTGAGGGAGGGGTGGACTCCTGCCAGGGTGACTCTGGTGGACCTCTTGCAGCCAGCGATACCGGGTCTACCTATCTGGCCGGTATTGTGTCTTGGGGCTACGGCTGCGCTCGTCCCGGCTACCCCGGCGTCTACACTGAGGTGTCTTACCATGTCGACTGGGTTAAGGCAAATGCAGTGTAAACAGTGTTACTATTAACATTCAAATAACTGTATGTCAATAAATATAAAACTTTATGAACTGTTCATTCCACCAAAAAAAATGATTAGTAGAGGAATTAACGTCATACAAATACCGATATTGCAAAATATTTTCGAACCTTATTCAAAACATATTATGAATAATATATCATGAATGAGGCTCAAAACAAAAATGTACATGATTTTATTTGTTCAATCCAAATAACATATATATATATATATATATATATATATATATATATATATATATATATATATATATATATATATATATATATATATATATATATATATATATATATATATATATATATATATATATATATATATATATATATATATATATATATATATATATATATATATATATATATATATATATATATATATATATATATATATATATATATATATATATATATATATATATATATATATATATATATATATATATATGTCGTACCTAGTAGCCAGAACGCACTTCTCAGCCTACTATGCAAGGCCCAATTTGCCTAATAAGCCAAGTTTTCATGAATTAATTGTTTTTCGACTACCTAACCAACCTAACCTAACTTTTTCGGCTACCTAACCTAACCTAACCTATAAAGATAGGTTAGGTTAGGTAGGGTTGGTTAGGTTCGGTCATATATCTACGTTAATTTTAACTCCAATAAAAAAAATTGACCTTATACATAATGAAATGGGTAGCTTTATCACTTCATAAGAAAAAAATTGAAGAAAATATATTAATTCGGGAAAACTTGGCTTATTAGGTAAATCGGGCCTTGCATAGTAGGCTGAGAAGTGCGTTCTGGCTACTAGGTACGACATATATATATATATATATATATATATATATATATATATATATATATATATATATATATATATATATATATATATATATGACCGAAAAAGTAAGATTAACAATTCTAACACGAATTTTCTCAATCTTTCGTACATTTCTTTTCACTGTTGGAGGTAAATCAAAAATCAATTCTAAAAAATTCATTTTATTTCTAGTGTGACGCGACACGAGCGCGTTTCGTAAAACTTATTACATTTTCAAAGACTTTAACAAAGTCTTTAGACAAAGATTCTACCCACCTCAAGACTCCGCTCCATTATAGAAGCATCAAGAAATATGGACCAATAGGCTTTCTACAATCACTTCTATTCAATACCCATTGTTTCGTGTTCTGTCTTGTGTTGATGAAATTAATACCCTATTAATACCACCTCTTGTTCTGTCTTGTGTTGATGAAATTAATACCCTATTAATGCCACCTCACCCCATCCACCTCTCTCAAATGTAGATATAAAAACGGAGATGCATAAGTTCTATTCAGTTGTGTATTTGTAAATTATAGTCTTTGAAAATGTAATAAGTTTTACGAAACGCGCTCGTGTCGCGTCAGACTAGAAATAAAATGAATTTTGGAGAATTGATTTTTGATTTACCTCCAACAGTGAAAAGAAATGTACGAAAGATTGAGAAAATTCGTGTTAGAATTATTAATCTTACTTTTTCGGTCATATTTAATAATATATGTCTACAGGAAAGACTGCTACCAAAAAATATACTATATATATATATATATATATATATATATATATATATATATATATATATATATATATATATATATATATATATATATATATATATAACATCTCCAATAAAATTATATTACAAATCGACTATGCACAGTGAACTACAAAAAAATAATAATGAAAGACATAATCCGTAAAGGAGTGAAAAGTACAACTCCTAACAAAAACATAGACCTGATCATATTCTACAAAACAAAGAAGTCTACCGACCTCCTTATCAAAGACAGCCTAAGTCGACGGAGAACCCTTTACAGCGGTCAAACGTTGTATACATGTACACTTGCCCCCATGAAGGATGTAACTTTCAATCTAAGTACATAGGTATGACGTCGACCAAGCTAACGAGGCGTTTGACCTGTCATCTTCAATCCGGTGCCCCCAGAAATCACATGAGACAAGCCCATGACATCACCCTAACAGGAGAAATGTTGAATAAAAGCACTTGTATAATAGACAAAATCCTAAATGTAAGAAGATTACAAATTCTTGAAGCAATCCATATAGGAGTAGAACAACCTACCATAAATACTCAAATTACGGAACTACTCATTCTACCCACCATGAGAGTAAGAACAAGACCAGAACGTTAAGATGCCAACATAGAAGACACTGCTCGACATACAGCGCCCACTTCGCTTGATTAATCTTTGTGTGTACCCTATTTAGCCTTCTGATCCTTAGCTTCTTTTCTCCTTCATGCCTTACTCTTTACCCTTATGTTTACCCAATGTATACCCATTGTTTACACCTGACGCCATTGTTCGATCCATTTGTGACCCACCCACTGGGTGACCTGACCCACTATTAGTATAAATATAATGTCCTGTACTGTAACATCACTTGAGAATGAACCATGTAGGTTCGAAATGTCGTAAAATTTTATAATAAGTGTTATACATTCTACAGTTATTCACTTCTTTTTCTTCACCTTGAAAACGAACATGACTTTTGGTGAACTCCTCTTCCAGCTGAACCCTGATGCAAGAGCACTAGTAAAAGGGATCGAAGCCCTAAACCAGAAAATAGTTAATAAGGAATATGCTGTCATTTTCAATGAGAAGTATATAAAAGAAAACCTGCTGCCAGTATACACACACACACACATACACATATTATATATATATATATATATATATATATATATATATATATATATATATATATATATATATATATATATATATATATATATATATATATAGGGGTACCACCACTGGTTTAATTAAAGGGACCTACATCCTCGAAGAAGAAAATAAATAGTGTTCAGAGAAGACCTTGTGGAGACCTTGCCCTTATATATATATATATCGTACCTAGTAGCCAGAACGCACTTCTCAGCCTACTATACATGGCCCGATTTGCCTAGTTAGCCAAGTTTTCCTGAATTATTATATTTTCTCTAATTTTTTTCTTATGAAATGATAAAGCTACCCATTTCATAATGTATGAGGTCAATTTTTTTTATTGGAGTTAAAATTAGCGTAGATATATGACCGAACCTAACCAACCCTACCTAACCTAACCTAACCTATCTTTATAGGTTAGGTTGGGTTAGGTAGCCGAAAAAGTTAGGTTAGGTTAGGTTAGGTAGGTTAGGTAGTCGAAAAACAATTAATTCATGAAAACTTGGCTTATTAGGCAAATCGGGCCTTGCATAGTAGGCTGAGAAGTGCGTTCTGGCTATTAGGTACGACATATATATATATATATATATATATATATATATATATATATATATATATCATAGTTCATTTGATAAATCACGTTATTGTGATTTCTGTGTGTAAACTCTGTTGTTATAAATGAAGTAACGAAGTTAATTTAAGGTAATTATCAGGACAGAGCTTCAAGCGAGTTTGGCTGTATAGCACTTGGAAGGTATGAGGACCAGATGAGAAATATACAATACCAAAAATATATAAACCAAAACATTTATATTATAAAGTATTAAAATGCGAAAAATGTAAGCTAAATAGGAGCTTGAGTAAGAAGTAACCGAGACTCAATCATTATTCGTCTTGTCATCTCTTGTTAGATTTAGTAAGATTAATTCTCTTTCCGGTTTAGTTTGTGTATATTCTCCCTTTTTCTTTTCTTGTATACTTGGCAAGAGTGTTTAAAAAAGAAAGTGCTCTGATTTCTCACTTACCTTTTCACGTAGTTACTTGCGAATTTCTTCATATTTATACATATTTATACATATTAAACATGTTAATTACATAATTATCATCTATGTTTACTTCTTTACGTAGCTAAATGTAGTTCAAAGAATTAATAATCCTTCGATATACTAGATCGACATTTTTACAGTATTAATGCCGGAAATAATTCATTCTTGATTTTAATTGTGATAAAAAACAACAACAAAATTATTAATATTTATTGATAACTTAACTATGTTATGTTACTAATACTCATAATTATGAGTGTTATTAGTAACACTGTTTACACTGCATTCGCTTCGACCCAGTTGACGAAGTAGGACACCTCAGTGTAGACGCCGGGGTAGCCGGGACGAGCGCAGCCGTAGCCCCAAGACACAATACCGGCCAGATAGGTAGACCCGGTATCGCTGGCTGCCAGAGGTCCACCAGAGTCACCCTGGCAGGAGTCCACCCCTCCCTCAGGAACACCGGCGCAGATCATGGAATCATAAATCTCACTAACACTATAATCATCACGGCACTCTGCGTCAGTCAGGAGAGGGATAGTCACCTTCTGCAGCACATCAGGACTGTTTCCTCCCTCGCTTGTGGTGCCCCAGCCTGTGACAATGGAGTTACCAGTGGCTGTATGTCCTTGTGCCGGAAGAGCAATGGGAGCCACGTTACTATTGAAAGTCAGGGGTGAAGCCAGATGAAGAATAGCGATGTCATTATCAAGCAGGGAGTAGTCGAAGTTCTCATGAAGGGTGATCTTTGATACCTTAATGGTCTGCTCCGATCCATCATTTTCGCTCAAGTTAAGTTCTCCAGCCACAATCTGTAGTGATAGAATTAACATTATTATATAATATATTTCTTAGCGGAAATTATTTGTTATTGATAACTGAGTTATAATATTTAGGAATTTGCAATTTTTTATTTTATAACTTATAAAATATTCTGCAATATCATTCTTCATCACACATCTTCACATTTTAATCCCCCATGAGTCAAAGAGAAATATGCATTCCTAAATCAAAGCAATAACTTACCTGGAGGTTTCTAGGGTTGTTGTAATTTTCACCGTAGACACAGTGACCAGCAGTGATGGCATGGTTTTCATCATAGATGGAAGCTCCGCAGAAATGGAATGCAGGATTGTAAGAGCTATCCTGGAAGCTGAGTTGGTATGGGAACTCCCCGAGCGTGGCGTCTGTGCCACCAACGATCTTGTAATTGGTCCGAGGGAACCTCAGCCTGATGGAAGGGGCGGCTGAGGAAAAGTGGGAGGAAATTTATGTAGAACTTATTGAAAGAATAGAAACATAATCTCAGTATTGCAAGCTTGTTACTTTGCGTGATATTCATTAGATGTAATTTTAAAGGAAAAGAGTTGCTCATTGAAAACGAATCTGATCTATAAATATATATACACACAGATTTGAACACAACAGCATTATTACAATTGTTAATTTATTATTTCCTCGTTCGCTAGATGCTAGAAGGTATTTACTTAAAATGGACGGAATCCATAACTAAATTAGAAATTGCAATTAAGCTGTTTTGTTCAATTATTTGTTTAAGTTCAATTACCGAGAGCCCCGGCGAGGAACAAACAGAACACGAGGAACTTCATGGCTGGTCACTGGTGGAGAACATCTCCCAACCACTGACGATATATATACTGGCTACCCGGGATTACCGTTCTCCTTATCGTCTCTTATCGGGGAAACCCAAACATTCAACCACTACTTGGTCGCTGATGGATTGGAATTATCCTATATTACAATGAACTGAATATTTGCGTAGAACAACATTAACCATCAATACATAATAGATATTTTTGGTGTTTGGCTTAACGCCCGTTGGCAGTGGGAGAGTTGTTAAGACCAGTATAAGAGAGTTATTAAGATTCATCAACCAGCAGAAATATTTTACCTTTGTATATAGTCCAATTGAAAAGTGAACGCTCAATGTGTATTCAAAGAGAAATTGGATACACCTCTCGATGTAAATATTTCCTGAATATTCCTTTAACAAACTTATCTCATATTTGTGTTAAAAATATTCATGAAATCACGTTCTGTAATCTTATTGATATATGTTCCTCCTGCTTCCCTCTCCTACATTTCTTATCATATTTAAATAATAATATATTTCTTTATCACTACCAATCTTTAATAATGTTAGTAAATAAATAATGAGGGAAAGAAAAATATTATTGGAAACCAAAATTATTCTATTTGAACAGCAGAGGTAAAACTTTAACGAATTATTATTCATCAAATATGTATAATCCTCATGCAAGGACTCAGACAAATATGTGAACGAAGAAAGTCTCACAAAACGATTTAATCACTGTAGAAGCATGGAGAGACACCCCTGTAATCAATACATTGTAAGAACGAGGATTGAAATACAGTAATTAGATCATTAAAAGTACGATCAGAGATTCCCACAAATTGGATAATCGAAGTAAGAAGGAAAGCCACTTTGTAATTATATCACCATATACAAGGATAGATGTATTTTTATAGTTGATTTATTTATATATTTAGGAGTTTTTACATTCTTGTAAAACCACTATCACGCATACCAAATGAGATACGGATTACATCTATAGGCAAATTAAATCATTTAAAAAAATAATAATATTTAAACAAACAAAAGTAGTTACAAGAAAAACGCCTAGTTATTCAACACTGTTATCACTTATTTATGGGTAGTAACAGTGCAAAAGGAGAAGCTTCCACTGTTTTATATTCCAAAGGTTTCCCTTCATCCCAAGGCCGCTGGTTGAGAAAGTTACTTATCTTTGCATATGCTGCTTGATTGATGATGAGTCATCTTCATATGTATATATATATATGTGTGTGTGTGTGTGTGTGTGTGTGTACTTACCTAGTTGTGCTTGCGGGGTTTAGGTCTGGCTCTTTTATCCCGCCTCTCAACGGTCAATCAACTAATGTACAGGTTCTTGAGCCTACTGAGCTCTATCATACCTACACTTGAAGCTGTATATGGAGTCAGTCTCCACCACATCACTTCCTAATGCATTCCATTTGTCTACTACTCTGACACTGAAAAAATTCTTTCTAACGTCTCTATGGATCATTTGGGCACTAAATTTCCACCTGTGTCCCCTAGTGCGTGTGCCCCTTGTGTTAAAAAGTCTGTCTTTATCTACACTATCAATTCCTCTGGGAATCTTGTATATGGTATGTGTGTGTGTGTGTGTGTGTGTGTGTGTGTGTGTGTGTGTGTGTGTGTGTGTGTGTGTGTGTGTGTGTGTGTGTGTGAGTGTGTGTGTGTGTGTGTATGTGTGTAAATCACTAAAATTAACATCTGATGAAAAATGAGACAGTGTCAGACCACGAAGGAAGAATTGAAACAGAAATTTCCCTAAGTACTTTCGTATTTAATAATAAATCTTCAGAAGAAATGAAGATGTATTCCTTGTGAAGATGTATTATTAAATACGAAAGTAATTAAGGGGAAAGAATGGTCGGCGATTTAACCGATAGAAAGGTCGATGAAAAATATCTGGCTGTACCCGGGTCTTTCTGCCTCTTTTCCCCTCGCTAACAGTGATGATGAAATCCGTGCCAGATAACGTAAATCATTCAGCTTAAGATATTATAAACAGTGAGAAAATATTAAGATCAAACATCGGGATCGACCGCCCGTTCCTGGAGTCCCCAGACTTAATAATTTTAATGTCAACATTACGTTCTTTTGATTCAACTGATCTTTCTAAAATATCAATTGGAAATTATTTAAAATTATCATGACCAACTTCCATGATTTGACTAATAAAACATGAAATAATAAACACATTTGTTTCACTATTTCAAGTAATCATATAGAAGTCGTAACTCCTCAAATTTTATTCAGTATTTTCAAAATGACGTTTAGAAATATATATATATTTATATATATATATATATATATATATATATATATATATATATATATATATATATATATATATATATATATATATATATATTAAATTTCAGAGTCACCTGATAATTGCAATGGGTGTGTGTACAATATTCCTTGTAAATCTTAAAATTAATTATTTGGGAAGAGTTGGTATACATCGGACCATTGAATAAATTACTGTAAGTATAGTATAATGACAAGTCAGGGTTCAAATTCTCTGTTTATTCGAATAAAATATTTATTTCATCTAGATCAAATTCACTGATTTAAATAACAATTACTGCACGTAAGCAAATTATTGAAAGAAATATAATCAAACTCTGTTCAACAAATCCACAACCGTCGTGATGAGGGTTCGAACCTACGCACAAGATATTTCCAGATGCGCATTAGTCATTTGATATTTTATATATCAAAGTTCATTTGATATGTTTCATTTGATATATATATATTTAAGATATATCATAGTTCATTTGATAAATCACGTTATTGCGATTTCTGTCTTTAAACTCTGTTGTTTTAAAGGAAGTAAGAAAGTTAACTTAAGGTAATTATCAGGATAGAGCTTCAAGCGAGTTTGGCTGTATAGCACTTAGAAGGTATGAGGACCAGAGCTGAAATAAACAATAACAAATATATATAATCCAAAAAAATGTATGTTATAAAGTATTAAAATTCGAAAAATGTAAGAAAATAAGAGCTTGAGTAAGAAGTAACCGAGAGTCAATCGTTATACATCTTGCCATCTCATGTTAGATTTAGTAAAATTAATTCTCTTTCCGGTTTTGTTTGTGTATATTCTCACTTTTTTTTTCTTGTATACCTTGCAAGAGTGTTTAAAAAAGAACGTGCTCAAATTTCTCACTTATCTTTTCATGAAGTTACTTGCGCATTTCTTCATATTTATACACATAAAACATTTTTATATCATAATTATCATTTATGTTTACTTCTTTGCGTAGCTAAATGTTGTACAAAGAATTCATAATCATACGATATGCTAGATCGACATCTTTACAGTATTAATGCCAGAAATAATTAATTCTTGATTATAAATTCTGTGATGAAAAAACAACAACAAAATTATTAATATTTATTGATAACATAAATATGTTATGTTATTAATACTCATAATTATGAGTGATAATAGTAACATTGTTTACACTGCATTCGCTTCGACCCAGTTGACGAAGTAGGACACCTCAGTGTAGACGCCGGGGTAGCCGGGACGAGCGCAGCCGTAGCCCCAAGACACAATACCGGCCAGATAGGTAGACCCGGTATCGCTGGCTGCAAGAGGTCCACCAGAGTCACCCTGGCAGGAGTCCACCCCTCCCTCAGGAACACCGGCGCAGATCATGGAATCATAAATCTCACTAACACTATAATCATCACGGCACTCTGCGTCAGTCAGGAGAGGGATAGTCACCTTCTGCAGCACATCAGGACTGTTTCCTCCCTCGCTTGTGGTGCCCCAGCCTGTGACAATGGAGTTACCAGTGGCTGTATGTCCTTGTGCCGGAAGAGCAATGGGTGCGACGTTACTATTGAAAGTCAGGGGTGAAGCCAGATGAAGAATAGCGATGTCATTATCAAGCAGGGAGTAGTCGAAGTTCTCATGAAGGGTGATCTTTGATACCTTAATGGTCTGCTCCGATCCATCATTTTCGCTCAAGTTAAGTTCTCCAGCCACAATCTGTAGTGATAGAATTAACATTATTATATAATATATTTCTTGGCGGAAATTAATTGTTATTGATAACTGAGTTATAATATTTAGGAATTTGCAATTTTTTATTTTATAACTTATAAAATATTCTGCAATATCATTCTTCATCACACATCTTCACATTTTACTCTCCCATGAGTCAAAGAGAAATATGCATTCCTAAATCAAAGCAATAACTAACCTGGAGGTTTCTGGGGTTGTTGTAATTTTCACCGTAGACACAGTGACCAGCAGTGATGGCATGGTTTTCATCATAGATGGAAGCTCCACAGAAATGGAATGCTGGATTGTAAGAGCTATCCTGGAAGCTGAGTTGGTATGGGAACTCCCCGAGCGTGGCGTCTGTGCCACCAACGATCTTGTAATTGGTCCGAGGGAACCTCAGCCTGATGGAAGGGGCGGCTGAGGAAAAGTGGGAGGAAATTTTTATAAACCTTATTAAAAGAATAGAAACATAATCTCAGTATTACAAGCTTGTTACTTTGCGTGATATTCATTTGATGCAATTTTAAAGGAAAAGAGTGTCTGATTGAAATGGAATCTGATCTATAAAATATATATATATATATATATATATATATATATATATATATATATATATATATATATATATATATATATATATACATTTTCAAATAAAGTTAGATAAATATACACACTTAACAAAAGAATAGGGGTGGTAGGAGAAGAATATCAAAGTGTTCAGTGAGGATCCACAAGGTCTTCTCTGAGTACTCTTTATTTTCTTCTCCGAGGCTATGGGTCCCTACATTTGCACCAGAGGTGGTACCCCTTCTATATATATATATATATATATATATATATATATATATATATATATATATATATATATATATATATATATATATATATATATATATATGTGTGTGTGTGTGTGTGTGTGTGTGTGTGAGTGTGTACAGAACTGAACACAACAGCATTATTACAATTGTTAATTTATTGTTTCCTCGTTCTCTAGATGCTAGAAGGTATTTACTTAAATTGGACGGAATCCATAACTAAATTAGAAATTTCAATAAAGCTGTTTTGTTTAATTATATATTTATGTTCACCTACCGAGAGCCCCGGCGAGGAGCAGACAGAACACGAGGAACTTCATGGCTGGTCACTGGTGGAGAACATCTCACAACCACCGACGGTATATATACTGGCTACCCGGGATTACCATTCTCCTTTATCGTCTCTTATCGGGGAAACCCAAACTTTCAACCACCAATTAGTCGCTGATGGAATGAAATTATCCTATTTTTTACAAAGAATTGAGTATTTATGTGGAACAAATATATTAGCCACCAATACATTCTTTATATGTTTGGTGTTTGGTTTTTCGTCTATTACCATCGAGAGAGTTGTTAAGACCACGGTGTGCAGGCGATGAGTCACAATAACGTGGCTGAAATATGTTGACCAGACCACACACTAGAAGGTGAAGGGACGACGACGTTTCGGTCCGTCTTGGACCATTCTCAAGTCGATTGAGAATGGTCCAGGATGGACCGAAACGTCGTCGTCTCTTCACCTTCTAGTGTGTGGTCTGGTCAACAAGACCACGATAGCTTACTGATCAACAAGGAAGAATATTTTAGCTTTGAACAGAACCCACAAGCAAAGTGATCTCCCTACGTATATACCCCGAGAGTGAAATATTACCTTTATAACAATATTTTCTAGGTGTCTACCTTTTGAATAAGCCATTAAAAAAAATCGGTTTTTGTTGTTGAAATATTTCTGTTAATACGTACGGTTATGCAGATAATGAGTCACAATAACGCGGCTGAAGACATGATGACTAAACCACACATCTGATACCGATAAAAACAACGAAGTTTTGGTCCGTCCTGAACCGTTATCAAGTCGTGCAATAGAAGAGAGAAAGGGACATAAAATCAAATTAGTAAAGAATTTAGAAAAAGAAATATTTAATAACTAAAATAAACAAAAAAGTGTTGAAAGAAAACCAAAGTGATTACAAAGTGTTCAGTTTTTCAACACTGTATTTAGTTACTGATAAGCAGTGACCAAGAAAGTATAAGGAGTGTATTCTGTCTAACAGTCCAAGGGTTTCCCATCGTCTCAAAGCCGCCGGCCTGAGAAAGTTACTTATCTTTCCATATGTTGTGTTTTGATGCTGATTCATAATTATATACAAATATCCTTGGGGGTCACTCGGCATTGCCCGGGTCTCTCTGTCTCCCATCTATCTATATATTTATATGTATATCCATCCAGCATTCTATCCGACTATCGATCCATTTATTCATCTGCATATATACACCCATGTATCCATTACTCTCTCCAATTATTTATCTCTCTATCTATTTATATATCTCAATCTGTTTGCATATATCTATACACCTATCCATTCATCTATCTATATATCTATACATCTATCCATTAATCTATCCATTCATCTATCAATTTATCTATCCATTCATCTATCCATTTATCTATCCATTTATTATTTAACCATTTATCTAACTATCCACATAACTATCCTTCAATCTATCCATCTATTTATCCATCCATCCATCTCTCTACCCATCTCTCTATCCATCCTTTAATGCATTAATACATCCATTCATCTAGCCTTCCATCTATCTATCTATATATCTATCTATACATCTATCCACGTATTTATTCATCTATATATCTATATATTCATATACCTATAGATCTATTTATTCCTCTTCCTTCCCCTGCTTTCCCGTCTCCTCCTTTACTAAGAAAATATATTATTAAGAATGACTGAAACAGCTTTGTTTATAGGTCTAAGAAAGTATATTGTTAAGAAAAACAACTCTTAATCACACTCCATGTTTCACTCTTGACTCATTGAAGAAAAAAACATAAAAATGCTCGATGGGTCTTTATAATTACAATTATTTCTTACAGTATTTAACCTAAGCCTACCCTGACCAGCCTATAACCGTCCCGTATCCCAGACCATTCCCCCTGCAAATTTGGGTGAGGCTAGTCCCAATCATCTGCCCGCCAACTCTAAACAGACTGATTGATTGATGAAGATTAAGCCACCCAAGAGGTGGCACGGGCATGAATAACCCGTAAACCAAAAAAAAAAACTAACAAACATTAGCTCATATTATATTCCTACACCTTTCACTCTCTCTCTCTCTCTCTCTCTCTCTCTCTCTCTCTCTCTCAAGTAAGGCTTGGGTTTACTAGGAATTTCATTCATGATTCGAGTGAAACTCAAAGAAGAGTTGTCATCCTATATTTGCTCATCTGAAACCAGCTCCTATGAAGTCATTTATTTTATGGGCTTATTATTTGTATCTATTACGAATAAATTAATTTTAATATCACTATTTTAATAACTATCATATAAGGACCAGGATGAGTAGACATGTGTGTGTCCAGAACCTTCATATGGTCGACTGACAGGATTTCCCACATCAACGTATTGAGCTAACACGATCCAGATACGAGTCAGCATAAGGATGAATGATCGCAAGTGGAGTGATGCTCCTGAGAAAGCCTTACCAACATGAGATAGTTGATAGTTGAGCGCCTTGAGTTATGGGTGCCAATTTCTGGCTGTCTACGATGTTGGGGCAGGTGGGAAAATTTGAGAATATAGGCCTTATAAATAACAAATTCCATCAAAATATCGCCGGTGATGAAAATTTTGATGTTCTGAGCAGTCTATCCAGAACGGGTCAAGATAATCATCCTTGCGCAATTTTCCACCTTGTTCAGAAGATAGAGAACTTAAGAAGATAGAGAATTTAAGAAGATGGAGAATTTAAGAAGATGGAGAATTTAAGAAGATGGAGAATTTAAAAAGATGGAGAATTTAAGAAGATGGAAAACTTAAGAACATGAAGAATGTAAGAAAAATGGTGAACTTAAGAAGATGGAGAATTTAAGAAGATTGAGAATTTAAGAAGACGAAGAATTTAAGAAGATGGAGAACTTAAGAAGATGGAGAATTTAAGAAAAAAGGAGAAATGATCATAAGGCCATCATATATATAATCAGATGGAATCATATATCCCATCTGCACTTAGCGCTGAAGGGATATATGATTGTGTTGGAGATCCAGTCTGGGGATTGGTAAGGCGGATCCAGTCTGGGGATTGGTTTGGTCCTTCAGCTTGTTATTTTCTTCATGATGATTATATATTCAACCCGTTCTCTTAAAAATAACGTCACTTTTGGCTCGTATGCGCTCTATGGCGAAATTTGAACGTAATTTGAAATGAAGTCGACTCACAAAAGTGACGTACTGTTCCGTTTTCTGTTTGAGTCGTCCGGCTTACTCGGCAAGCTTAGAACAGGCAACTTTCCATTAACGTTTTTCAAACCGTTTTGAAACTTTATGAGAATTTCCTGCCCACCTAACCTATCAGAGGACCCTTAACTTACTGTTGTTGAAAAAAAAATCCCAAATTTATTTTCAATTTTTTTTCATTTTCAAATTACGTCCATATTCGGCCATACGGGCAAACGGCCAGAAGCGACGTTCTTTTTAAGAGGACAGGTTGATAGCGTGTTGGATGTACTTATTTATTGATGAAGTTAATGCAGTGAAGACGGTTACATTGACGAAGGTAGAGTGGTTTATAATAATGGTTGTGTGTATCTTTGTGGGTGTGTGTTATGGAATGGTTAAATCAATGATTCTTGCACAAATCGTCTCAATATTTCTTATGTTATTTGCTTGGGAAAGAAGTTGAAACGTTGTCATTTTATAACTTTTTCACAAAAATTGAGTATTTACGTGGAACAAGAATATTAGCCACCAATACATGCATCATATGAACAAATATGAAAGTGTAGTGTACAGCGTAGTGTAGTGTAGTGTAGTGTAGTGTAGTGTAGTGTAGTGTAGTGTAGTGTAGTGTAGTGTAGTGTCATGCATCATATGTTTGGTGTTTGGCTTATCGACTATTACCAGCGGGAGAGTTGTTAAGACTACGATAGCTTATTGATCAAGAAGCATGAATATTTTAGCCTTTCGCCTTTATCATTCGCATTTCGGGGAACTTGTCAGCATCTTCGAACTCACCAGAGAAGCGGATTTAAGTTAGCTGAAGCTAAAGAATACATATAACCAAGTTAGGTTATGGTGAAATAGGGTGTAACTTTCGATGCTGGCTGAGGCAGTAGGTGAGGAGTGAGCTGGATATTCTGCTTTGATCTTCAGGATGGTCAAGTGTTCCTGGCTGCTGATAGTTGGATGAGTGTTTGATACGTAGTGCTTCACCAATGACTAATATATGATTGTCGTTGTATCTGACGGTTATTTCGGCGTTGTTTGTTAGAACATCTCTGGTGATGATCTGGTTGTATGTAAAAGTTATGTGATATTTGATGGAGCATTTTAAGGCGCATTGTCAAGCGCTTTAAAAAAGAAAGAGAGACTTTGATGCCTTGCCAATATATTGAAATTGTGGGGCTTACAATCCGCAAGTGGACTGCCCCTGCAAGTATGTTTGAGCCCTGAACATGGTCAATGTATATACACCAAAAAATTAAACCCGATTTTATAAAAAAGAAAATAAAGAATTTTAAATATTAGACACTTTCAACGTTTGACAATTTTAAGAGAAATAGGGGTTTGAGCCAAGAGGAAATCCGCTGACAGTTGTTGTTCGAGTCCTGTAATCACTTATTGCATATGTTTAGGATGCTTAATATATGAATAACATAAGAATCAGGTAATTTGCAGAAGGCCTACTAGCCCATACGTGGCAGCTCCTATTCATATTCATATAAATAGGAAGTTTTGAATCAGGTTTTCTTTGTAATTGTTCTCAACTCTTTTTGCTGATTACAGTGTATTCTTTATTAGTGTATTAGGTAAAATATAGTGCTCTGATATCTCATTGATCCTTTCTTGTGGTTACTTACGCATCTATTCATTCTATATCATATTCATATATATGTAAAACATAATTTCATCTATATTTACTTTTTTTAATTTTCTACAAGGCTTAATGTTCTAAAAAGTTATAATTCTTTGTAATACTGAATCGGCATTTGCATAGAATTAATACCAAAAATATTTGCTTAATTTTTAATTCAGTTATAAACTGGTTACCAAAACATTTTTTGTTTATCGTTTACAAAATCTGCGTGTTGATAGTAATACTGTTTACACTGCATTCTGTTTGACCCAATCGACGAAGTAGGCCACCTCAGTGTAGACGCCGGGGTAGCCGGGACGAGCGCAGCCGTAGCCCCAAGACACAATACCGGCCAGATAGGTGGACTGGGTGTCGCTGGCGGCCAGAGGTCCACCAGAGTCACCCTGGCAGGAGTCCACCCCTCCCTCAGGAACACCGGCGCAGATCATGGAATCATAGATCTCATCAGCACCATAATCAGCTCGGCACTCTTCGTCTGTCACTAGAGGGATAGTCACCTTCTGCAGCACATCAGGAGTGCTTCCTCCCTCGGTTGTGGTACCCCAGCCTGTGATAATGACGTCACCACTGGCTGCATGACCTTGTTCTGGAAGATCAATGGGACCGACGTTCTCGTTGAACGTGAGGGGTTCAGCCAGCTTAAGAAGAGAGATGTCATTAATAAGAAGGTCGTAGTCGAAGTCCTCATGCAGGATTATCTTCGCCACCCTGACTGTCTGCTCCGGTCCTTCCAAAAGACTCAAGTCGAGGTCTCCAGCCACAATCTGAAGCGTTAATTACACTTCATTATCTAATTATCACAACGGCATCAAAAATATATTCACATTAGCAGAAATATTTGTTGTAATTATTTTATAAATAATTTTTAAGTAATTTGTTTAACTATATAGCATTCACATGATAAAATATGTGATATACAGTATCCTTCTATATCGTAGAGGCTCAAACACAGCGCCTACACGAGACGGAGGGACCTACATCCCACTACTATTACAAGCTTACCTGGAGGCCACTTGGGTTGTCGTAGTTATCGCCGTAGACGCAGTGGCCAGCAGTGATGGCATAGTTTTCATTGTAGATGGAAGCTCCGCAGAAATGGAAAGAAATCCCTAGAAACGTTTCCTGGAAGCTGAGTTGGTAGGGGAACTCGCCTTGCTTGGCGTCTTCGCCACCGACGATCTTGTAATTGTTTGGTGGGAATCTCAGCCTGCGGCTGGGGGCGGCTGGAGACGCAGACGGAGGACATTAAAGATGGGAAAAATTATTGAAAGGAAATCAAATTATCTCATTGTTGTTAACTTGTACTTCTGTGTGATATGCATACGATATAACTCCTACTTAGACAAAACCATTAAATTTGGCCGAGGGAAGGGAATTTAGTTGATATATTAGGGGAAAGCATCAAGCCATTAAGCATCAAGCCATTACGACTACTATATAGCACTTGGAAGGGATTAGGATAAGGATTTGGGATGGGACCGGGGAAGGGAATGGTGTCGAACCACTTGGACAGTTGGGGCTTGAACGCCGACCAGCGTGAAGGGAGACTGTCGCTCTACCGTCCGGCCTAAGTAGTTGGGCTAAATTTCGAAGAAAATTCTAAATTTTTCGTGTCTGATTTGATATGTAATTTTGGTTGTAACTTCACGGGAATGATGATATATATCACAATATTGAGAAATGTTACCGACTGTCTTTTAATTTGTAAAACTTTCAAGTTACGTAATAGTGAAGAATATCAGAACTATTTACGTTAGAAGAGCATGCTAATTTAATTTAAATCAAAACAAATGAAAATATACCACAAGTATTAACTTAAATATATCTCTCAGTGGATACAATATTTAAAAAAAAAACTATTACCGAAGCAATTTGGCTTATTAGGACGTGCTTCCTTAGAAGCACGACATATAGATTGACTTAACGAGAGGATACCAGAAGTGGAAGAGTGAGAAGTGGACTTACCGAGAGCCCCGGCGAGGAGCAGACAGAACACGAGGAACTTCATGGCTGGTCACTGGTGGAGAACATCTCACAACCACCGATGGTATATATACTGGCTACCCGGGATTACCATTCTCCTTATCGTCTCTTATCGGGGAAACCCGAACTTTCAACCCCCCCAATGAGTCGTTGATGAGATGCATTTAACCTTTTTTTCACAGTGAATTGTGTATTTAAATAAAGCAAGAATACAAACCGTTTATACATAACACGTAAGAAGACATACATAATATGCTCCACTTGGGCTGAACAGTAGAGCGACGGTCTCGCTTCATGCAGGTCCGCGTTCAACCCCCGACCGTCCAAGTGTTTGGGCACAATTCCTTCCTTCCGTCCCATCCCAAATCCTTATCCTGATCCCTTCCAAGTGCTCTATAGTCGTAATGGCTCGGTGCTTTTCCCTGATAATTCCCTCCCCTCTTTATGCTAGTAAACAATGATACTTAAACAAAGTCCATGTTATATATGTAGGGATGGAATGTTCATGAAACATATTAATCTCATTGATTTAATTCACCTGGGATCTAGGAGACTCGAACCGCCGGCCCCATACGCGTGTGAGGACGAAGCTTTTATCGACTCTATTGCCCAGTCTATAGAGTTTCGACTTTACGCGGCGGGTCCGAGTAAGGTTGATATCAATAAGTTATTTCTCTATATATCTCTTTTGTCTTACATCACTAAATTTCATTACATAAATTTTCTGCTTGTTAATATTGATGACAAATAAATCGAAGATTTGAAGAGAAACACTATAGAACATCGCATTGGCTTAGTGGGTGTAACTTGACCAGACCACACACTTGAAAGTGAAGGGACGACGACGTTTCGGTCCGTCCTGGACTATTCTCAATTCGATTGTGATAATCACAATCGACTTGCAAATGGTCCAGGACGGACCGAAACGTCGTCGTCCCTTCACTTTCTAGTGTGTGGTCTTGTCGACATACTTCAGCCACGTTATTGTGACTCATCGCCTGCATATGGGTGTAACTTTTTCCTGTAGATAGGTAACACTGTTTTCTTATTTACAATATGTAATAAATTTACAAATCTTATGCTAGATATCGAGTGTGAGCATTGGAGATAGGCCAGTAATCAGAGCATTGAGAGTATGAGGACAGGCACCAGCAATCAGAGCATTGTAAGTACAAGGACACCCAAGAATCAGATCATTGTGAATATGAGGAAAGACACAAATAATCACATCATTGTGAGTACGAGTGTTATGAGAACGTGAGTGAGTGAAAACAATTGTACCAAGCTAAGTACAAGGAGAGACCCGCTAATAGTTCAAACAATCATTGCATGTTTTTTCTTTGAATAATATAAACAAATAGTTTGAAAGAGAACCCAATTAGTTACAAGGAAACCGTTCAGTTACTATAGACGGTAATTAGTAATTGATGCGCACTGACCAAATGCGAAGGTGGAGGAGTTTCTTACATTCCAAGGGTTTCCCATCGTTTCAGGGCCACTGGCGTGAGAAAGTTAGTTATCTTTGCATATGTCGTGTGCCTGGTACGAGTCTATCTTCTCATACTACTTTCCTTGATGCATACTTATTAATGTTGTCCTCCATCCTTTGTGGTATTTATTTCCTTCTGTTTCGTAGAACGTAGTACTTGAATCCTGGTCTGTTGTCCTTCTTCATTTCAAAATAATGTTTCACTACATTCCTTTTACACACACAAACACACACTCAAGAATGTTATGGAATGAATAATTTATCATCCTTGCAGGTATTGGTCATTCGAGCCTCCACGTGAGCTAGGTGTTGGCCTCAGCCAGCGACTCTACTAACTCTCGTCAAGTAAAGTCATCTCAGCAAAGTTTCTAACGTGGTGTTAGTCTTGGAAGGTCGCCTGTTTAATGCTTGCGACCTCTTAATGGTCTCTGCTCCTAATGCCCATTGCCCATTAATGCTCACTCCTCTAAATGCTCGCTTTCTTGAATGCACATTCCCTTTCTTGAATGCACATTCCCCTTCTTGAATGCACATTCTCTTAATGAACACTTCCCTTAATGCTCACTTCCCCTAATGCTCACTACACTTAATGCTAATGCTCACTTCTCTCTATGCCCATTCCCCCTTATTGTAAATGAAGGCTCTGTTGTAACGTGTCAATGTTGAGTTTTATTATTATTATTATTATTGAAGAACGAGAGCATATACAATACTTGACCACTATAGTCGTGGTGGGAAGTTGAGGTGGTCTGTTTGTCCAGGTGTGGTAACACTGTAGGGATAGAGGAGTAGAGAGCCGCTGTACGGTTTTCTTATCCGACCTTCAACAGATTCGAGACGGGGGGAACCTAATATTTTTTATCTACGTCTCTCTCTCTCTCTTGTGATTAGATTACGGATAGAGTTTGCTTGTACTTAAATCTGGAGTAAAACTACTCTGAGTTGAGTTTGTTAACCAGGTAGAAATCATTGTGAACTTGACCTAATTTTTGTCATTCTCCAGAAGCTATTAACAATCATACTTTTTCAGAGTTTTAATTAGAATATGTATACCTAATGATAGTAGTGTTTTTGAAAAATTATGAAAGCCCAAGGGTTCGTAAACTTAATATTTTTAGTTGAATATAACATAAAATACTTACAAAAAAATTCTTATTAAATATTGAAATTTTTTTGGATTATTTTACCTGTCTATATTGTTCTAATGTTACAAGATGCGTTGATTTATTTACGTGCTATTCTGAAGGTAAGGTAATTCTGTGGCGTGAGAGGGGAGCTAATATGACAGTAGAGCACTTGGGAGACATATGAGGGCAGTCTAGGCGTGTTGGACATGAGGAAAGACTAGGCGCTGGAACATGAGGACATGTCACATGGCTCCATGACTCCATAGACCAAAGAACCAGAACTCATCCCCTGCAAGCACAATTAGGTGAGTACACACTAAGCGCTGGGACTTATGAGGACAGACTAAGCGCTGGGATGAGAACAGTGGAGGAATGTTGCCCAACCTCTTGGACCATCGGAGATTGAACGTAGACCTTGCACAAAGCAAGGTTGTCGCTTCACCAACAAGTCAGAGTGGAAAAAGACAAAACTATCATGTTATTATTCCTATATATCATCCTGCTGTATGAATAAAGGTTTGAAGATGGATATGTCTGGATTAAGCTAAGCCTCATTTGGTCACTCATGAGAATTTGGCATTGTCTTCACATAGCAACATGTCGAGCAACTAAGCTGGAAGTCTCACGAGAATATCTTTCAGGCAGATATCTACACTGTGCAACATGCTCCATAAAACCACACATCGGAAAATTGTATTTTACCTCAATAAACTTATTTCAATTTCAATTTCAATTCTAGTTGTCTCTTCCACTCTAACGTATTCGTCCGCTTCAAAAAAACAACGACGTTTCAGGTCCGTCCTGAACCATTATTAAGTCGTGCGATAGAAGAGAGGAAAGGACAGACAAATAAATGAGATGAGAGGTGAGGAGCAGGTAAGAGAAAAAGGTAAGAATAAGATTTAAGTAAGAATAGGATAAGAATTAGAGGACGGTAAGAATAGGATGAGAATTAGAGGAAGGTAAGAATAAGAAGAGGGTCTAGAAAAAGGGGTAAGAGTAAGAGGTAGGGGCAAAGCTTAAGTTAGATCACATTTGTTAAGAAGGTTACAGCATTTAAGTATGTACTGTGAAAGGGAAGAGTCAACAGCAACAAAGCCAGGACTAAGGGTCATGTTGGGTAGGCTGTGTATCAGAGCCAATTCTACAAGACGGCGTCTGTGAAAAGTAGAGGCAGGAAAGATTATTACTCATCTTCTGAATACAATTTATGTTGTCCAAACACATAATCAAATGTGATTATGTGTTTGAATTACCTGTGTCAGGTAATCCATACCTCACAGCTATTTATTCAACGAGAGGTTTACCTTGTTTATCTTTATATATGCACTATGAGTTTACTTTAATTTTGAACAATGCTCAAGACAAAAGTATACTTGATGATTAGCTGGTAAGTTATTGTGGGGGGCCCTAATAACTCTCCAGAGGTTGATTAGCACTAAGCCCACCACCAAACCAACTCTCACCTCACACAATTTATATCCTTCCACAAATTTAATATCAGCCCATACTAATGCCTTGAAATTCCAAGCATTGTTCTCTCAAATACAACTAAAACGCTTTACAGAGCCAGACAAAGAGGATAATCCTGGCACTTGTTTGCCTAATGTGTTCTTCCAGGATCTGAGATCTTCGGAGATCATGATTAATCTGCATTAAGAGAACATGGCATTTTGTTACGTGGCGCGAATATAACAATTTATATATATACAAAACAGAATAAGAACGTTGCCGTGGTTAGCAGATGGTTTTAAATCAAGTAAAAATAACTAATAAGACTGGGGAGTCTACGTCGACCACGCTCGACACTTTTAGTTGAATATATAAACAGTGTCAGATATAATATAAACAGATATTAATGTTAATGATAACAGTTAATCTGTCATCTCTTAATGAACAGATAATATATGTTAATATATAAACAGATATAATATATAAACAGTGTCATCATTAGAGACGAATTCATCTTCCAAGTCTCACATTGTCGTCTCCAGCATACAAGGCTTAGAATTTAGAGGTGATGTATCTGAAGGACTGTAATATCATCTGGATATACGTCCAAATTACTGTTCGTCAATAGCTTATATTATAAATTACAGGTCTGCAAACTATGATAAAACTTTTAATTTTAATGTATTTTAACATACTACTGTAAGTGCTGGCTCTGAACGAGACGTAGACATAGTTATGTCACATCCCTTTTCATTCTTAGACCTGTAATTTGTATTCTTTGATATAGAATATTATTGACCTTTGTTTATGTATAAATAATGTTAGCATATACTCTTTGTAATCATTCAGAAATAAATATCTAAAGCATTATATAAATACAAGTGCATACCTCAAGTCGAATGTTACTGTTGATAACAAACAGTCCAACAATAGATGTCGTATATAAACAAGATATCAAATAGAGTGCTATGTGATTAGCCATTTTGTACACAGTATTACGGACATCTGCTTGACGTTGTTCTCAAAGACGCTAAGCCAAGCACACTTGTTTTGCTGTTGTAGTGGTCAAGTTAAATGCCAAGAGCTTTGTAAGTTATTTCAAAAACTTAGTGAACGATCACGTGTTTAACACTAAGTTATCTAGTGAATGAGAAGCACCGGGATTTGGTTAATTTTAAGTACTTACTTAGATTGAATCTCCTGTAGTGTTAGTGTTACTTACACAGTAGCCTCTGTAGCCTTACAAACACCACTAGGGGGAGCCTACCTGACAGCACTACCAGGTGAGCCTCCATAGTAACACCACACCACCGTGAGGATCCTTTCTGATAACACCAGGGAAATTCTCTGACAACACCACCAGGGGAATTTCCCTGACCACACTACCAGGGGAACCTCCCAGACCACCCCATAAGGGGAACCTCCCTGACCACACCACCAGGGACCCTTCCCAACAACTCCACCAGCGGAGTCTTAAAAATGTAAGCTTTATTTATCCTTTTAATGGAATTTCAAGATGTTTGTATGTGAATAAACAGACCAATGTTTTTTTTACAGAATTTTATTCGTGACAGTTTAAGACAATCAGAGAATGTTTACTTTGAATGTTCATGTTCTCAGAATTATCAGCAATATTAACATTAACATGCATGCTGTTTACACTGCATTTGCCTTAACCCAGTCGACATGGTAAGACACCTCAGTGTAGACGCCGGGGTAGCCGGGACGAGCGCAGCCGTAGCCCCAAGATACAATACCGGCCAGATAGGTAGACTGGATGTCACTGCAGGCCAAAGGTCCGCCAGAGTCACCCTGGCAGGAGTCCTTCCCTCCCTCAGGAACACCGGCGCAGATCATGGAATCGTCAATCTCTCCCTCGCCATAATCAGCGATGCACTCTTCGTCTGTCACAATAGGGACAGTCACCTTCTGCAGGATGGTTGGGGTGTCTCCTCCCTCGCTGGTCGTGCCCCAGCCGGTGACGATACAGTCGCCAGTGGCTGTATGACCTTGCTCTGGAAGGGCAATTGCTGAGACGTTTTCGTTGAAAGTAAGAGGTGTAGACAGATGAAGGAGAGCTATGTCGTTGTGCAGGTAAAATTCGTTGAAATCTTCGTGGTGAATGATCTTTTGCAGGATAGACGTCTGCTCGTTCCCATCTACAGACATGTCCCACTCACCAGCCACAACCTGGAAAAGGTTGAGAGTGTGAAGTATAACATTGACTTGAAAATGGCCCAGGACGGACCGAAACGTCGTCGTCCCTTCACTGTCTAGTGTGTGGTTTGGTCAACAAGTATAACATTACAATGGCTGACATCTTCTAATGATACTGACACGCGAAACCAGTGATACATGACATTACAAGCTGGTTTAGAAATATTCATAATATTTTATAATCTTATATTTGTAACTTAATTTTAGGTAATACTAATAATAACCCCAAGCTGATCTGTGTGTATTTTATGAAGTCCACAAAGTTCCATCCCAGCACTAAGCTTCACTACAGCTGAAATAAATGATCATACAAGAGGTGTCACATATGATTACAAGACAGATCCTTCCTATCAACGAACAGAGCAATTTTGGACGTTACAGTGTAATTTTTAGGTCAAAGCTGTTTGAAGAGTCATTCTGGAGCATTTGTGGCCCTTTAATCAGTGCTGGGCAGAGCTTCCGTTCATTTAACTTCATTAAATTACTTGATTTAAATTACTGAGTAAAGTTGAAAAAATAACAGTTTACTGAAATTCGGAACCGAAAAAACTTTAAACAATTCACTTGTTATTAAGTACAGTTTTTCATTAAATTAGAGATATAACAATAGCGAAGGAAACTACAGATAACTTTCAAGGACCAGTTTTTGATATAGAAAGTATTCTTGCTTCTTCTAAGGCCTTTCACATAGATGAATACGTCATCTGTTTCAAGGAGTTGAACCAGTTCGTTCTTACCTGCAATCTTTAGATACCTATTTCATTTCTTATCAATTTAGTAAGGAATTGAATAATGCGGATTCATATATCTTCACTTTGAGCAATGCTGTGAGACAGAGAGCGGGTTTGAGTCTTATTATTTACCACCATTCAAAGTTACGAAGTTACGAAGGAACTTAGTGTTCCTGTTTTAAGGTCAACAGAACATATCTTTATCAGTTAGAGCTACTGTTTATTTTGAAAAACTCATTTCTTACTAATGGATGTCTGATAAAAGGGCTGATAAATTCGCTTTCAAACAAAACCAAAATTTAAAGCATAACGATTTTGTTTACAGGGAGAGGTTAAAAACCATGTCATGATCATAAGAATTTTTTAACCAATCAAATGAAAAGCTTCAGTAAGTTTTTAAAATAAATGTTGAAATCATAAGCATATATTTAATATAATACAGTGGAGAAATAAGAGCTGAATCAGAACGTAGGATTTTTTTTTAACAGAATGATATGATTGCAGCTAGCATTATTTACAATGGCCTCAATGACTTGTGACATAGTAATGTACCGTGATTCAGTACATTACCGTGAGTTATTGCTATAGTAAATATACCGTACATGAAAACCCATGAGAACAACTAGCACTGAAAATAAACTTACCTGGAGATAATCAGGATTGTTCAAGTCTTGACCATAGACACAGTGGCCAGCAGTGATGGCCCACTCCTCCGTGTAGATGGAGGCCCCACAGAAGTGCCAAGGATCACCGTAGGAGAGATCCTGGAAGCTTAGCTGGTAGGGGAACTCACCAGGCTCAGCATCGGTACCACCAACAATCTTGTAATTGTTGGGGCGACGCCAAACCTTGCGTGAGGGTCCGGCTGAAGATTGAGACAACATAGAATCTATTACACACTTTTTATTTATTATAATCAAGATAATATAGATATCCATGCAGGTTTATACTGGACATCATGGGATTGGTGGGTGCAAGTTGGACTTACCGAGAGCCGCTGCAAAGAGCAGAGTGAGCACGAGGAACTTCATGACTGGCCACTGGTGAGGAACAACTCTCGTCTCCTCAATTTATACTGAACCGCGGATCTGCCATCGGAGGTTATCAGCATTTTTTGTACAGTTCCCTGTATCACTGCAGGATTTTCTTCACTATACATATATTATATATATATATATATATATATATATATATATATATATATATATATATATATATATATATATATATATATATATATATATATGTACATACATATATGCCATTGTCAACACCTGACTGAGTCTGGTGTTGACAACGGCTATCAACAGCCCAAACGTTCATCTTCCTTTCCCATTTCTTTGTGGATTTTCCGCATGCAAATGATCAGTGTTTCGTGATCGTCAATGGCATATATATATATATATATATATATATATATATATATATATATATATATATATATATATATATATATATATATATGTGTGTGTGTGTGTGTGTGTGTGTGTGTGTGTGTGTGTGTGTGTGTGTGTGTGTGTGTGTCTGTGTGTCTGTGTGTGTATATTGACTTTTTGCATTTTACTACATGTGTCTGCAAAATCGAGCTATAAGTTCTTGTACCCCGCTTTTCTAGCCAATCTATTTCTCTTCTATTATATTTTCTACATATATTTCTCCATGTAATTCTTTCTTTCTATGTAATTTTGTATTTGTTTCTAACACAAGAACACACACACACACACACACACACACACACACACACACACACACACACACACACACACACACACACACACACACATCCCAAGGAAGCAGCCCGTAGCTGCTTTCTAACTACCAGGTACCTATTTACTGCTCGTTGAACAGGACCACCAGGGTGAAAGAAACTCTGCCGGCAATTTATTTCCACTTCCGCCGGGAATTGAACCCGGGCTCTTAGGACTATGATTCCCGAGCGCTTTCAACTTAGCCGCGAGACCCCTCTGGTGTGTGTACTCATCTAGTTATACTCACCTAAATGTGCTTGCGAGGGCTGAGCTCTAGCTCTTTGGTACCGTCTCTCAACTGTCAATCAACTGGTGCACAGATTCCTGAGCCTACTGGGCTCTATCATATCTACATTTGAAACTGTGTATGGAGTCAGCCTCCACCACATCACTGCCTAATGAATTCCACTTGTTAACTATTCTGACACTGAAAAAGTTCTTTCTAACGTCCCTGTGGCTCATTTGGGTACTCAATTTCCACCTGTGCCCCCTTGTTCGCGTACCACCCGTGTTAAACACTTTATCTTTAACATGGGTGGTAGGCAAACAAGGGAACACAGGTGAAACTGAGTACGTGTGTGTGTGTGTGTGTGTGTGTGTGTGTGTGTGTGTGTGTGTGTGTGTGTGTGTGTGTGTGTGTGTGTGTGTGGGTGCGTGGGTGTGTGAGAGAGACTGTGTGACTGTGTTTGTCTTATTTGACGATTAATTTTCGAGGAAGGGAATTGTAAAATTTATTTAATTATTATATTTTATTAGGATTCTTGTTAGTATTTGTTTAATTATTTCTATTATAATTTTAGTAATAACAATCAAAGTAATAATAATAATAGTAATCATAATATAATAATAATTATTATTATTATTAAATATTATTTTAATTGTTATTATTATTAATTATATTAAGAATTGACGACACAGGTTTTTCAAAGTAGTTCTGTAATTCAACAGCTCTCCGATTTAAATCAAATAAGAAATGAATAAGTTCCACTAGAATACACATGAAATAAATTTTAAGTGTCCCATAGCAAAATGGAACTTAGACTTGATATGAGAGGTCTCCACATTGGATTTCCCACCATACCGAGGCCACCTCCCTGAGAGCGACTGCAGTCTCCGCACCTGCTGCATTGTCATCATCCATGCTTGTTGATACGTGGAATTGTGTAGCAAGTCCGTCCCAGGGACTTGGAGGCCTGGTCGACGACCGGGCCGCGGGGACGCTAAGCCCCGGAAGCACCTCAAGGTAACCAGCCCTCGATCGACTCCCGAACAGCTCTTTCAATAAGATTTGCTTGTAATTTATGCAAAATTAATATTGAACTGTTTTCCCCGAATACCTATAGGGTTTCCACCAAGGCTGTTCTCTCTGAAACGACTGTATAGGCAAGACAATTCACAGACGATGGGTAGGGTAAGGCGAGGCTCTTGTTCTTCAAGGTTGTCCACGCTTGGGCCTCGCGAGAAGAGAAGTGAATAATATTCGACTGCTGCTTCCTCTCATTAGCTGACGTAAGCTGGTCAGTGGACCTGATCCTTTCAATGAAGCTAAACTCTTCAGTTGACCTGAGTTTATGCCTGGAAATTGGAAGTATTTACTTCATTCTAGCTAATATAATCGCAATAAAATCGTAAAATGATTTATCCTATATATGCTTAGCTTCCTCCAATCCTACAGACTGTTGTAAAGATTAATTGTTGCCATTATAGATTTATATATATCAAGAAATTAACACATGATAAATAATCTGGAAATATTTAATCACAAAGAAAAACTAAACCAAGAAATGACATGAACGCTTTCGTGTTAATCAAGATATTGCAGACGGATTTAGACAGCTTTGAACGTTCCTCGTATGTCCCCTCCACCCTCTAAGGTGACCATTACTTCCAACTCCATTAGGTACATTAATCTTTAGCAGTAACGTAGCTTTAAAGAGGTTTGACTCATCTCAGGAGTAGTTAGGGAATACAAAATGAAAGCCAATATATATATATATATATATATATATATATATATATATATATATATATATATATATATATATATATATATATATATATATATATATATATATAAGGCACAACTCTCCTACTCCTAAATATATATATATATATATATATATATATATATATATATATATATATATATATATATATATATATATATATATATATATATATATGCGCGTTACGTGTTATTCTTTGGCAATGTTAATTGTCATTTGTATCGTCCGTGAGAACAGCTTGAGCTGCGGTTTGCGTCTTCGTGAGGATGAACAAGGGTGCTAGGATACTGCCTGAGGATGGACAAGGGTGCTAGGATACTGCCTGAGGATGGACAAGGGTGCTAGGATACTGCCTGAGGATGGACAAGGGTGCTAGGATACTGCCTGAGGATGGACAAGGGTGCTAGGATACTGCCTGAGGATGGACAAGGGTGCTAGGATACTGCCTGAGGATGGACAAGGGTGCTAGGATGCTGCCTTCTGGATGTTTGGTTTCTCTTAAAGTTGTACTGAAATTTGCTCAGTTTTCTGTCATTCTTTGTGATCTCCTTAAATGTTAAAAATGTTAATATTCCCCGCCTTATGTAGAATTCATATTAACCTGATACTAAGCACCAATTATTATTAATATGGTCACAGCTTTAAAATGCATTAACAAAATTAAGGTATGTATTTATATTTCATATAATTATATACTGTCCATTTGTGAGGTAGAATGGTGTAATGAGTGAAAACATGAGGGTTATAACGAAATGACAAGTGAACAAATTATTGAGAAAAAAATAAGAACGTAAGAACAGGCAAAGGTTAGTGTTGCCATATTTAATGTTTTATGGTAGAACAAGCGATAAGAATGACAACCAGATGGTAATGGGAAGATTCTTGTCTTATCATTAAAGGCAAGAGTCCGCTGTTGCTGGTGAGAGTAGTCGCGGTGCCATCATATACATTATTAGACAGAAGGACTTGCTCGTCACATTCTAACACGTCACACGCATTTTTCGCACTCAACTTCTATGATATACTCGGGCCTTTTTATCTACGTTCTCCTTATATAAATGGAGTATGTTACCTCTCCTTTACATTATGTTTTTATGTTTGTTCTCCATATACACCTTGGACTGTTCATTTTATATTGCTGTTTGTCCTGATTTTTCACTCTCTTACTACGCAAGATGTTCACATTAGTGCATAATGGGTGGAATAATCCTTCCTTCATCAAACCTTATAGGTTCACCCCTTGCTATCTCTATGATTGTTGTTATTATATTTGTCTAGCTACCAACTCCAGCTCCCTCTTGCCAACTCAACATCCTGCCCACTATCCTTCTCTTCTCCCTTTTTAGGCACTTTTCCCTCTTCCCGCCTCACCATCTTACCCACTCTCTCCACATCAGTCCTACACATCACCCCCTCTCCTCATCATCATTCCCTCTCTCCACCTCCTCTCATCTATTCTTCTACCACTTCCTCTACTTCGATCGTGTGGTTCCGTTTGTAAGCAAATCCACATTCAATTGCTTCCCTCCTCGACACTTGCATATAATTACTCTTATAAATTTTAATCTATGCTCAGATTGGATTTCAAAATAATAAGCCATTATTTTCCTTTATATTTTCACCTTGTGGAAATTCCATCTCCCGAAACAGATTTAAAGCTAAATATTTTATTATTTTTCTTCATATTACGCTATTATAATGCAGAATAACACGGCGAGTCTGTCAGCAATGTCTGTGGCAGGTAAAAAAAAAATCACACGGTTAATGTCTGCCCGGACCTCCCCCCTGGACGTGCTCTCTCTCTCTAGTCTTGTATTTATAAATTAGTTCACGTGAGAGGGAGGGAATTACTGGCTGTTGGTTACATGGTATTAAAGTCTGTTTCCTTTCCTGAAGACCACAATATCACTCATTTTCACGGGGGTTTATACACCGTATTTCAAAGACTACCGAGTTGATGGTCTTGTCATGCGGGACATGTACAATGTCTGTAGCCCACCAGTAAGAAACTCCTTAGTCAATTGCTTTTATATTAATATCTCTAAAATCTCCTATGCCAGGTAAGTATGACGGGCTCACCATAGGCCATGCTGCTTGGATCCTTATGTTCCGAGTAGCTGAATGTAAAACCAACTTTAAGAGATTGAATAATTGTTTCAAGGTCTCTGGTGTCAACTTGTCCACAAGAGTGACCTGACCTTCGTGCCCACGAGAGGCAAAAGTCTCACCGTTGAGTATAATGTGAGTGACATTTGCAGGGGGTCACATGGCAGACGTGTAAACCAGTCGTGT